AACCATATACCGTGTATACAAATAAATAAAATGAGTTTATCTAGTGAATCAAAAAAACGTTTATGTGAATCGTTACAACAACAGATGGTATTAGATACTGGGTATCCTGCTTCACAGACTGAAGATTGATTGATTCCCTTGGCATCATCATCGGTTTGCGATTGCTTCTGTTCCAATTTCGCAAACCTGGTTTAAGTTTGATATTCTCAACTGTAAGGTTAGCGGTATCCATTTTATTTTTCCTTTCTAGTGCCTCAAATTTTGATTTAAGACCAGCCTTCTCTTTATCGCTTTGCTCTAGTTTCCTAATTCTAGCTTCATACTCAGCTCCACGCCTTGTGCTTTGTTTTATTATCTCTTTTAGCTTCGCATTCTCAGCCTCAACCTCAGCATACTTCTTTTTAATTTCAGTATTCTCAGCTATAAGCTTGGAAATCTGTTCTAATGAATCATTTTTAGATTGTGTGTTTGCCATTGTTTATATAAGATGCGGATATGTTCAAAGCAAAAGTTTGAATTAATAAAATCACGTGATAGAAAACCGTGAAGAAAATCTTCACGATCGGATTACACATATAAAATACACGAAAAAATCATGTGTGCGTGAATGATTTGTTCACACCGATCACTTTCGCCAAGAAAAAATTATTAATATCGATGGAAATATATAAACACGATTATATATCCACCAAGGCCAGCGATTATAAAAATCGAAAAGAATATTATACGCAAAATACATTATAAAAAAATATAAAAATGGTCATATCTGGCAAAAAAAAAAATTACAAAGATGATTTTTATGCTGATGGGACAAAATTATTTTGTATTGTTTGCAAACATGTAGTAGACCATAAACAAAAGTCAACAATTGACAACCATTTAGAAAGTAATTCTCATAAAAAAATAAATTAGAATTTTTAAAATTCATGACAAGGCTATAGCACCTTATGTTTTTTTGTGCATTGAAAATACAAAGAATTTATTAAGAGCTGGCATTGAAAATCCTCCTTTAAATCAAAGTATGATTGATTTATGTAGAATTCAAAATGTATCAGAAGAATCTTTAATACCAAGATTTTCTCAAGCCTTTATAACCTTGTCTATGACAAATTGTATAAACATGTTAACAGAAATTTAGCAGTACTGCTTTTTAAAGAAATTCAAAGCTTTAATCCAAATTTATCAGAGCTTCTTCAAAAAAATATTTCGTTATATTCATATATCAAGGAATTTATAAATCCAGAAGATGAATGGATTATTTATTCTGAAGATAATGAATTTTTGGTGAAAGGTTTAGATTTAAATAAATATTGGAATGATAAACAACTAATATTACCATTATTTTCTAGGATTGCTTTAGAGTATATGTGGCTTCCAGTGTCTGGGGTGGACGTAGAATGAAGTTTTTTCATATTACAAAAATATTTTAAGTGATAGATGACAAAATTCATTAGAAATGCTTAATGTTTTTTATAATCATTTGTTTGTTTTTAATTATAGTGCATAATTTGCACAATTTACCAAGTATACCCATATCAAATAAACAACGTTACACAACCCGTGAATAAGTAAATTGGGGCATGCTGCAACAAAACCAGACAAAGTGAACATTGGTATTACCAAGGATTCAGGGTTCAAAATTTAGTAATGTGATTATTAAAATCCCCC